GTTCCATTATAAGTCAATATGTAATACTTAGGTAGTAAAGTTTGTTGGAACTCAATTGCAGACTTAAAATAAAAATGAGCTCTCACTTTAAAAAATAAAAAAGGTGCTTTATTGATTAGGTCTTGAATGATCAGAATAGCTTTCAACAGCAATTCAATTTGAAAGGATAACTCCAGAGGAAGTATGAAGATCCTTATTTGAATACTTTACACCAGGGGTAGATAACCTGGTCCCTACTGCCCATTAGTGGGTGGTTTGGAATTTTAGGTGGGCGGTGATGGGTTCTGCAGAGAAAGTCCAGTGGGCCTCGATGGCCATAGACCAAGGCCGGCAGGGGAGATCCTTTTATCTACCCTAGCGGGCCATGCAGGGCAAGCCTTGCTGTAAGTTCTCTCGGGCTGGTGAGATCATTAAAGATCTCCCTCACCGGCTTGTTGGCACATAGTTCCAGCAGAGGGAGGGAAGGGCCTGGAAAACTCTATGTACCTCCCACGAACAGGCTGGTTGGAGCGTTGCCGAGTGTTACCATGGCTACGCTCTGATACAGTGCTGTGCATGCAGGAAGGTGCAAAATCCGATATCACCAATCCGCTGCGAAGCGTAAAACTTATTCACGCCAATTAGCGCCCAGAAACGAGAGGGGTTTCGCCACCCAATCAGACAGAAGGGCGCAAGACCCAATTTGAACAAGCGCTCCTTCTCAGATTGGTCTCTCGCTCCCTGCGGCGACCAATTAGTGCTTTACCCGCGCCGACCAACCAGGAGAATTGACGCAAACCCAGTTTGAATGGATGTTCCTTCTCCCATTGGTCGGCACAGACTTCCATGCAGCCAGAAGTAACCCTGCGGCCGTGAAACAGACTCAACGCCCCAGGGACCCCCTGTTGGTGCACATTTCTCTCTCTGGTGGATATCCCCACGCAGGTATCCACTGGAGAGAGCGCTCTCCTGGGCAGCCACAAGCATAGTCTCGTAGCTCTCAGGTAAGGAAAAGGGATGAGGGATTATTAATTATAATTTTATTATTTATATAGCGCCATCAGATTCCGTAGCGCTGTACAATGGGGGAGCAGGTAGGATAATTATAGATCCTTTGGGGAGCAGGTAGGATAAGGGAATAGGAAGAGTGATTATAGCTCAGTTCGAGAGTAGGTAGGGTGATCCCTGACACCGGGATCGAAGACAGTGTACACATGCTGGTTTGGGAGACAAATGCTCTCCCTGGTGGGCATTCGGTAATACGAACAAGCGGCCACCCAGAGGAAGCACGCGCTGCTCGTTCCCTTGCGGTCTTCGGTTTTCACATCTCACTAGCAAGGTGTGAACATTCTAAGTATACATTCTAAATGTATGTAAAAGTGCCGGGGTGGTGCACTCACGGGCGGTCAAAAGGTATATTGCAGATTTTTATGGTCAAAATTACACAAAGAGGAATATAAAAGAAACAGGTATAGGTGCTCTCTATAGTGACTACAAATGCGGCAGCAGCAAACCAGCAGGGATTCCCAGTACCTGCTAATAATCAGAAAAGTGCAAGAAACAGAAGTGGAACACGCTCCAATAAAATATAAAGAGTAAAAAGTATATATATACAAACAGAATTGTTCAACAATATAATGATTGGATGTCAACCGTATAGAGAAAAGAAATAAAATATGGACAATAATAGTGCAGTATGTCAAATAAGATAATATATTCTGATATGAGGTATACGGAAAACTGGTAGAAGGCCTAACTCACACTTTCCAGAGCTACTAAGAGCTCTACTGTATGGCGCCTGGACGGTATAATCCCCGTCTTAGGATATGAGATCAATGATGAGGCGTAGCTTCTAAGTCTCCACAATAGTACATAAAACAGAAAACATAGATAAAATCCAATAGTGCAGTATATCTGGTGAATAATGTATAGTAGAGAAGGTAAGTATCTTACTTACAATTTCCAGAGCAATGAACTTGCTCTGGTGATGAAAGCTTGAGGTGGTATAATCCCCACCTGAGGATTTGGGAAGGGTCCAAGGTGCACCAGGAACGGAAGATATATGAGGGAGCAGAGTAAAAAATAAAACTATAAATTTATTGTAAAATAGTACAAAATATAAAATATGTGACAATAATATAATCAATAAGTAAGTCTCTAGCTCCACTTGACGCATTTCGGCCTAAACAGGGCTTCCTCAGAAGTTTACCGATCAGCAAATTCAGTCCTTGTTATATAGGGTTTACTGATTCACTCATTCTGTTCCGGTGTGTGCACTCTTCCGGTTTCCGTTGCGTCGCATGCGTCGACCGGAAATGACGCAATGCGACTTGCTGGGGCTGATGGGTAGTGTAGTATCTTCATTGGTATTGGCACCGGACGTTGCAGACGTCACCCGGAAGTGATTATATAAATATATATAGTTTATAAGAAATTAAAAAGATCAAATTCGGCATTTAAGCCGTTTGGGTGCAGGGTATCTAAAAAATATACCCACTCCATTTCTTTTTTTCCCAATTTTTTTATAATATCACCCCCTCTCCAATGTTAGGATAACCTCGGGATGCCCACAAATTTCAACAGACGTGGATCTTTATTGTGCTGTTCAAAAAGGGAAGATACCAAGTGATTTTTAAACCCTTTCTCAATGTTTCTACAATGTTCTCCAATTCTAATTTTAAGGGGTCTAATGGTTCTTCCTATATACTGTAGTCCGCATGGACATTCCAACAAATAAATTACATTTTTGCTCATACATGTAATCGTCTCTTTAATTTCTCTTTACTTTCATATTCTTTATTAGTATTATATGATTTAAATTTAGACGTATGTTTATTAGTCTTCTGAGTTTTCTTACATGCTACACAGCAGTTACATCTAAAAAATCCTTTCTTATTATTTGGAAAATTATCTACAGCTTTCGAGTTTTTTTGTTTTGTATAATTTTTTGTGAGTTGCATCTTTAAATTCGGGGCACCTCTAAACACTATTTTTGGGCGGTCGGGGATAATTTTCCCTAAAATTGTGTCTTCTTTTAATAAATGCCAATTATTTCTGATTATTTTCTGCAGTTGTTTATTCATATTGTTATAATCCAGAACTAAAGGTAACATAAACTCCTTTTCATCTTTATTTTTATTCAGAGCTGTCTTATTTATCAAATTCTTTCTATCTATCTTTGTTACTTCTTTTATAGTTTCTTCTATTATACTCCCATTATAGCCTTTTTCAATAAATTTCCCTTTCATTCCATTAGCCTGAATTTTAAAGATGTTACTTTCTGAACAATTTCTTTTTAATCTAAGTAATTGGCTTTTAGGAATACTGCTAAGCCAACTCTTATAATGACAGCTATATGTTGTAATAAAATTATTCACATGTACTTCTTTAAAGTGTGTTTTTGTATGAATTTTTTTATCTTTAATATAAATATCTAAATCTAAAAAAGTAACGTTAGTATAACTAAAATCTGCTTTTAATATAATACCATCATCATTTTTATTTAAAAATTCTATGAAGTGATTAGCAGTAAGAAGGGGGCCTTTCCAAACCAATAAAAGATCATCTATATATCGAAAATAGGCGACCACGTTCTCCATCCAGCCATGTCCACTCCACACCATTCTCTCCTCCCATTCCGTCATAAAGAGATTGGCATAGCTGGGTGCGAACCTGGTCCCCATTGCTGTCCCATTCTTCAAAATGCCAACTTCAGACACTGATAATAGATCATTTATGGAAGAGTGGTATGGGCATTTAGAATTTTGTACATTTGGCTTAATGAAATCCCTTATAAAGGTAAAGAATGAAAAATTACAAAATCTGGATAAAAAAATTAATGATTTAAAACAACAACTAATTCCATTTGGTGATACAGAGAAATACTATGACTCCACACTAAAAATTAAAAGAACAATAGAAAAGACTGAAATGGAGACAAAAAGGATTAAAATAAACAAATTTAATAGAGATAAATATGATTATGCACATGATCAAATACGTACATACAATAAAAAACATATAATTCAAGAAAAGGTTGGAACCATTATGAACAAAGGACTCCTGTAAAAATAAATTTTAATCGAAATAGGACATATAAACAAGATTTTAATCTTGGACTAGCACGAGTAGATAGACAAGACTACACATATAATGAGAATGTTCAACAGAGACGGAGAAGAGTATCATCAAATAGAAACTATTCGCCGAATACATTTTCACCTCATAACAATCACACTTTAATGATGACGAGAAGACATCATTCATTTAAAAGAATAAATAGACACCCTTCACTGAGCAGACATAGGGTTGATCTAAAAGATGAGAAATTCACATATAAACCAAGACAAAATTATGAAACAAAAAAGAGTGACACTTTCACTAAACTTCACAATGACAAACAGCCAAAGGAAAGATACAACAAACCTACACAAAAAAACCAAAATGGACACGATTCACCATAAAGAAAATTTAGATAGAAGAGAAATATATACACACAGAGGAATACGGATGAAATTCCAATGGTAGTAAGACCTAAAACTTATAGATCCACACAAGGATATAGATCACCAAAAAACAAAACCAACCAACATCCATGGGAAAGAGATGATAGGAGAGCCCATGGGAAACATGATGAGATTAGAGATAGTCCTCCAGAAGAGATTTTAAAACACAATAGATACCATGCTCTGTCTTTCTCTGAACAACTTGACGAGACGTATTTTTTAGAGATTCCGTCAATCCGGGAGAGACAAATCGATCATACCAGCCCATTAAGAGGCCACAAAAGGAGTTTAGAGGAAGGCGGTCAGGTCAAAGAAAACAAAAAAGGAAGAACCGAGCGATGTTAGAAAAAGATATAGCCGAAGATGACAATAAAGGGATTTTTAATTTATCAGGCAAATCTTTGACAAATATTCAACTAAAAATACTAAATAAAGGATTGAAGTATGTGCCTACAAAAACATTTAATCCCTTTTTGGCATATATCGATGTTAACAAATTCGTACGCAATGCCACCCTTAAAAGATTTTATATGGGCAAGAGCAATACTGCCAATAAGGAAATTGTAAATGATGTAGCTTTCTACATCATTTACAATTTCCTTATTGGCAGTATTGCTCTTGCCCATATAAAATCTTTTATGCTTATGTAAAAAGTTTAAAAAAAAATAAATATATAAATTTATAAACATAAGAAGTAAAGGTGATATAAATAATTTAACAAGAAAAGACCCCACCCTGGAAGTGAAAACCCTGTTGAAAGTTTTCTTAGACCAAGGGAAGGAAAAAAAAATATTAGATATCGATGAATATAATTATCTTAATAAGAGATTTCCAAAGATACCTGTGATATATTTTTTACCCAAAATTCATAAATGTCTTGAGAAACCCCCTGGGAGACCTATCGTCTCCGGTATAGATTCCGTCTTGTCTAATGTATCTGAATACATAGACATATTGCTACAGCCATATGTTAAATTAAGTCAATCATACCTTAAGGATACGATAGATCTTTTAAATAAATTAGTGCATATCGATTAGATAGATGACTATATACTAATTACTTGTGATGTCCAATCACTATATACCATAATTCAACATAATAAAGGCTGCAGTGCTGTAAGAAGAATTTTAGAAAGACATAACAATATGAAATTAGAACAAATAGATTTTATTATTGAGGGGATTTTTCTCATTCTTAATAATAACTACTTCTGGTTTAAGGATTCTTTTTATTTACAGAAAAATGGGACAGCAATGGGGACCAGGTTCGCACCCAGCTATGCCAATCTCTTTATGACGGAATGGGAGGAGAGAATGGTGTGGAGTGGACATGGCTGGGTGGAGAACCTGGTCGCCTATTTTCGATATATAGATGATCTTTTATTGGTTTGGAAAGGCCCCCTTCTTACTGCTAATCACTTCATAGAATTTTTAAATAAAAATGATGATGGTATTATATTAAAAGCAGATTTTAGTTATCCTAACGTTACTTTTTTAGATTTAGATATTTATATTAAAGATAAAAAAATTCATACAAAAACACATTTTAAATAAGTGAATAATAAGTGTGAATAATTTTATTACAACAGATAGCTGTCATTATAAGAGTTGGCTTAGCAGTATTCCTAAAAGCCAATTACTTAGATTAAAAAGAAATTGTTCAGAAAGTAACATCTTTGAAATTCAGGCTAATGAAATGAAAGGGAAATTTATTGAAAAAGGCTATAATGGGAGTATAATAGAAGAAACTATAAAAGAAGTAACAAAGATAGATAGAAAGAATTTGATAAATAAGACAGCTCTGGATAAAAATAAAGATGAAAAGGAGTTTATGTTACCTTTAGTTCTGGATTATAACAATAAGAATAAGCAACTGCAGAAAATAATCAGAAATAATTGGCATTTATTAAAAGAAGACACAATTTTAGGGAAAATTATCCCCGACCGCCCAAAAATAGTGTTTAGAGGTGCCCCGAATTTAAAGATGCAACTCACAAAAAATTATACAAAACAAAAAAACTCGAAAGCTGTAGATAATTTTCTAAATAATAAGAAAGGATTTTTTAGATGTAACTGCTGTGTAGCATGTAAGAAAACTCAGAAGACTAATAAACATACGTCTAAATTTAAATCATATAATACTAATAAAGAATATGAAATTAAAGAGAAATTAAAGAGACGATTACATGTATGAGCAAAAATGTAATTTATTTGTTGGAATGTCCATGCGGACTACAGTATAAAGGAAGAACCATTAGACCCCTTAAAATTAGAATTGGAGAACATTGTAGAAACATTGAGAAAGGGTTTAAAAATCACTTGGTATCTTCCCATTTTTAACAGCACAATAAAGATCCACGTCTGTTGAAATTTGTGGGCATCCCGAGGTTATCCTAACATTGGAGAGGGGGTGATATTATTAAAAAATTGGGAAAAAAAGAAATGGAGTGGGTATATTTTTTAGATACCCTGCACCCAAACGGCTTAAATGCCGAATTTGATCTTTTTAATTTCTTATAAACTATATATTTTATATAATTACATATATATTTTTTACTAATTAATTAATTTATCCAGTTACTATTATTGAGTTCATATTATAATACATTATTTTATATCTCTCAATACCATTTTCTTATAATATTGTTTAAAATTCCTCCTCTCCTATGTCTATATACATAATTATACACATTGCTGGGTTGTATGAATTAATACCACAAAGGTTCACTTGTCTTTCTTTTATTTTATCCATTTTATTTCACTGTATGGTATATTATGAAGCTTTGTACTAATTATGTATGTATCTATCTTTTATATACATATATGTGTATATGTTATAAAGTTATGTGCAATATGCTATTAACTTTATATAATTCTTGTATCTATACACTTTGCGCTGATTGAAATATCGAGCATTACGAGTAATTACTCTCTACTACATTTCCCAGCTATCACCGGCAGTTGCGTTACGTCACTTCCGGGTGACGTCCGCAACTTCCGGTGCCAATACCAATGAAGATACTACACTACGCATCAGCCCCAGCGAGTCGCATTGCGTCATTTCCGGTCGACGCGCCGGAAACCAGAAGAGTGCACACACCGGAACAGAATGAGTGAATCAGTAAACCCTATATAAGAAGGACTGAATTTGCCGATCGGTAAACTTCTGAGGAAGCCCTGTTTAGGGCGAAACGCGTCAAGTGGAGCTAGAGACTTATTATTGATTATATTATTGTCACATATTTTATATTTTGTACTATTTTACAATAAATTTATAGTTTTACTTTTTACTCTGCTCCCTCATATATCTTCCGTTCCTGGTGCACCTTGGACCCTTCCCAAATCCTCAGGTGGGGATTATACCACCTCAAGCTTTCATCACCAGAGCAAGTTCATTGCTCTGGAAATTGTAAGTAAGATACTTACCTTCTCTACTATACATTATTCACCAGATATACTGCACTATTGGATTTTATCTATGTTTTCTGTTTTATGTACTATTGTGGAGACTTAGAAGCTACGCCTCATCATTGATCTCATATCCTAAGACGGGGATTATACCGTCCAGGCGCCATACAGTAGAGCTCTTAGTAGCTCTGGAAAGTGTGAGTTAGGCCTTCTACCAGTTTTCCGTATACCTCATATCAGAATATATTATCTTATTTGACATACTGCACTATTATTGTCCATATTTTATTTCTTTTCTCTATACGGTTGACATCCAATCATTATATTGTTGAACAATTCTGTTTGTATATATATACTTTTTACTCTTTATATTTTATTTTCGAGGTATTCCACTTCTGTTTCTTGCACAAAGAGGAATATGAAAGAGGGGTAACCCACATTCTAGGAGGGAACATCCACACATATAAAACAAGGCAATTCACAGTTTAGGCAGTCCCACCACAATGCTTATTCAGCTTGATCCTTCTCCGTTCAAGAGCCGTGGGATCCCTTGCCCCCCTCCAATAATTCCGGGATAGCACCTCGGACCACCCAATACATAGCCTTGGGAATTTGAGCCATAGCTCAGCCAAATCTTACTGGATCATTTTACCCAGATCCCACACCGGAACAGTGCCAAGATCTTCCTCCCCTCACCCTCAAATGGATCAAGGTTACATCAGGAACGCTGAGTGTCACATCCTGTACCTGTTGCGGATCATTTCTGGCTATTACTTCTGGTATCCAGTACTCTTTTTACAATTCTTGTTTAGTTTTTCTTGGATTTGCTGGTTTTCTATTCTAGGTCTGGTTTTCTTTATGCTGGGTTTTCTGGGTTCATTCCTTTATTCCGTTCCTGGAATTTACAGTCTCTTGGATTCCTTTAAATGTTTGTTTTTTGTTGCTACATTCGTTCCTTTGCCATTAATCCTTTTGTTTCAGTCTGTTCCTGCAGGCAGTGGTTTCGTTTCCTCTGCACCTTTCCTTGCAGGTAAGTACTGTGTGTGTTTTATTATTGTACTTTTAGTCATGCATATCTAGGCAGTTAGGACCCACCGTAATTGGAGTACTTTGGCGCAGTGGTGGGCTGCATACATCTTGGCCATTTATGTATGTCTAAATCTCCAATGTTAATTACATATATAGTCCTTAGTTATTTCTCCTCTTGTTTTGCCTTGTATCTCATATCTTGTTTTATTTTGTCTTGTATTCCCAGTTCATGTACAGTCCTGTCCTGCCCTGTTTTTTTTTTCATCATGTCTTGTGTACATGTTCTGGGTTCTGCTTTCTGTCCTGCTCCAGTTCTGGGTTCTTCTAGTTTTGCTACCTTGTTTGGTGCCTGTTCTAGTCTTGCCTTGTTTCTAGTACTGGATACATAACTGTTGCAGAGCCTTCCAATCCTGATCCTGGGAGATCTGCATATTATCATTTAGCACCTGGGATCCGCAGAAGCTGCATCAGGGCCCTGGTATTTGGCCGAACGAACGCTGGTGCTCAACACCGGGGGGCATGTGGTTACCCAGCACCAGGCCCTGATAGACCATTTCCACGCTGTGACTCTTATCATCATCATGCGGCATACAGGTGTCCTGGCCTCCGGACCGCCACCCGTGACACTGAGTAGGCGAGCCAAACGGACCATTTCAGGCAACAGGTGCTCCCAACCCATCTCCTGGGAACCAAACCAACACACTTCTGCCACTGCTGGTGACAGACCCAGTTGTAGTCTCCCTGGACGAACTTCAGCCCACTGTTGTGCCCAGTAAATGTAAGAATGGCCAATGACCCATACTTGCCTTCTGGCACCTACAGAGACAAGAGGGGAAATGGAATCAGTCCAGCTGTATGCACATATAAACGGAACCTCCCAGATTCCCATCTCCCAATCCTTTGGATAATGTCCTCAGACAATCCCAGGCGTGATGCCTCAGTAGCAGCCCATATCCGAAAGGAGTGCCCCCCAAACGCTGCACTAGGCAGTCCCAATGCCTCCAATGCCATGCAGAAAACCCTAATAAATTGGAACAGATTTAAGAAGCTAGCATCCCTGTGAACGCCCACCAGGCGTACCTCACAGAAAGCATGAAAACATGCCAGAGGACAGACCATGAATTCTGGGATTTCCCGCAATGTGACCCAAGTACCCCAACCCAGAAAGTCCGTCTTGGACCTGCGCAACAAAAACCGCACCA